GAGATAAAATACACTAAAGGGAGTCAGATATTTAAAAGACGGGATAAGAAACACAAAAGGGAGGTTAAGAGGCACATGGGCGAATATGTTTTTGGTGGGGGGAGGAAAAATGGATCTTCGCCTATGTACCCAAAATTCTTTGCACCGGCCCTGAGTGGCGGTGTCCCGCCATAGTACCGATTTTGCCTTACCTTAATTTAATAGACATTATTTGACATTGCATAGAAATTATAAAAATGATAGAAATTAGGACCTTACTTAGGCATTTCACAGTTTTCAAAAACAGTTGACAATATAACAGGATTTGTGTTCCATTTCCCTTAGCCAAAAATAGTTACTGTGCATATACACTGTAGATACAATATATCAGGCATTGAAGTGCAATATATTCACTAGGCAGAAGAGTTCTGTGGTTTGGATCTTTCCTTTTCTTTTCTATTAGTTGTGTGTTATTTGTGTTTAGTTTTTAATAAATAAAAAAATAACACTGCTTTTTTTTTTTTGTATGACTGTCCAACCATAAACATTTATTTTACAAATAATTATAGCAGCAAACTGTGCATCTGTGATCACAAAAGAAAAAAATAGAAACAGTAACAATAGCCTGTCTTTGGTAGATTCAATTTATAATAAGGGAATAAAAATATCTGCTAGATTTCCTGAGGATGTCGTGGAATACTGGCAGGGACAAATGAGGTTACAGACACTAAAATGTCTTCGGCAAAGAGGTTCAGTTTGTATTGTCTTTGGTCTAGCATAATATTCTTGACATCTGAATTGCTGCGTGTCAACTCTGCCAAGGGTTCCAATGCCAAGATATTCACCAGGGGCGAGAGAGAGGGCATCCCTGTCTAGCGCCATTCGAGATTGGGAAAATTTTTGATAAGAAGCTTCCATTGAACACCTTAGCTGATGGTTTGCTTTACAAAGTTCTAAAAACTGCTAGAAAGTTAAGAGGGAAATTAAATTTACATAGCAAAGGCTTTCTCAGAGTCTAAGGAGTAGCATTATCACGTTTCTAGTTCCATCCACCCCCTATCTTCCCCTAACAAAGGTAACTTGATCTGTGTTAACAATGGATGTGAGAATAGTTGTCAGTCTGATTTTGGTGATAATTTCTCATCTGTGTTTAGTAGAGAGATTGGTTGGAACGTGGGACATTTTGTAGGCAGCTTGCTTGGCTTGGGTAGCGTGGAGATATTAGCAGATAACAGGTGAGAATGAAGTTCTGAACACGCTAGCACAGAATTAAAGAAAGTGGCCAAATGAGATGCAAGATTGGCGGAGCATCGCTTGTAGTAAAGATTAGTATATCTGTCTTGGTCCTTGTTGGAAAGTAAGAATGTAATAATCTTAGCTATTTCATCTCGTTTTAACAGTGTTTCGAACTGCTCGCATTGCTGTAAGGTCAATTGGGACAATTTCTTGGAAAAGTTATTTGGTCTATTTCAGTCTTGGTCAGTATGTATGGATGTGTCATGTTTCAGGTTATATAATTTCCCAGGGGCGCAACTAGAATCCACTTGGCCTCGGTTCCAAAATTGCCCAGGGGCTCCCCTCCCAGGTGTCTCATCCCCCCCCTCGGTGTCTCTTTCCCGCACCCAGGCCCCCCCCGTGTGCTTCATTCCCTCTGCCCCACAGTTCCTCCATGTGTCCCATTCCCTCTCTCCCCTCAGCCCCTTCAAGTGTCCCATAGGCTCTTCTTCCTCCACCCACTTTATGTGCCCCATTCCCTGTCCCCATAGCCCCTCCCTCTCTCCCCTTCTCCCCTCCATGTGTCCCATTCTGCCCTTTCTCCCCCTCCCTTCCATGTATCCCATACCCTTTCTCTCTCCTCCCCTCCCTTTCATGTGTCATATACTCTCCCTCTCTTCCCTCCTTGTGTCCCATTGTTCCCTCTCTCCCCTCCAGGTGTCCCATTGTTCCCCCTCTCCCCTCCAGGTGTCCCATTCCTACCTCTCTCCCCCCTTTCCTCCCTGTGTCCCATACCTTCTTTCCTTTCCACGTGTCCAATTGTTCCCTCTCTCCTCCAGGTGTCCAATTTCTCCCCCCTCCCCTCCAGGTGTCCCATACCCTCCATCTCTTTCCCCTTCCTGTGTCCCATACCCTCCATGTGTCCCATTGTTCCCTCTCCGTGTACCATTTCTCCCTCCCGTGTCCCATTGTTCCCTCTCCCCCCCCTCCCTGTGTCCCATTGTTCCCTCTCTCCACCTCCCCTCCAGGTGTCCCATACCCTCCAATCCCCCCCCTATTATCCAGGTATTCCTTACCTATTTTTATCCCCCTTATTTGTTCTCATTTCAATGTTCTGTTGAGAAATATTACCCAACTCAATGGTACGGTTTCAAAATTGACTTGGGGACAATTGAAAAACGGAGTTAACCTAACCAGGAATATAATGTATCACTTATATATTTTTTTTACTAAGCATGAGCCCCATATAATCAGTGCTGGATTTCTGAATAGGCAAATATGTGTATGTATACAGTCTTACATGTGATACCGATTAATGCATAGGAACAATTAGCGTAACCTGAGTGACTGTGGTTACATGAAATGTTAGAATAAACATATTTTATCAAAGTGTTCCCTAAATGGATACTCTCTGTGAGTGTATGTGTGTGTGTCTGTGTGTCTGTGAGTGTATCTGTGTGTGTACGTGTCTGTCTGTGTAGCGGATGGCACTGGGCTGTCTTGGGAATTGCATAGGTTTTAACTGCATTCGTGTAAATGGCAGGTTATATGTGTAGAAATGTATTGTATTCGTCTGATTGTTTGGTAGAATCATTCTAACAAGTAAGGGAATGAAACTACCGAACAGTCAGACCTCCCCGGTGTGAAGTGTGCCTTCAATTACCCGTTGCAACATTGTTGCGAACTGGTAATTGACAAGCTGGGCAGTAAGTCCTTTGTTCTCGGGGGTGGCCGCCATTCGGGAAACGAACACGTGGCGGCGGCTATTTTAAAACTCCCGAACAGCGGTGTTTTGCCATCGAGTGTCTGGAACCCAAATCGGACACTCGACTAGGTGAACACCGCTGAGACCTCCACAAGCCCGGTCCGTTCGGTTCCAAACTACCGAACAGCCCCTCATTCGGTAGACAGAAACAACCGAACGAGGGGATTCAGGCGAACCCTCCCTGGTCTCTATAACTGGATACTTTCGTGCAATTTATTCCCTTTTGCCAGGACCGACCGCAGGGCCCCATCGCATGGATCCCAATTCAGCTATTCTCTCCAGCGCGGTCGGTCTTTTTATTCCCTCCATAAATTTCCCGAACCCCTGGTCTGATCTGGGTGATTTTTGGATATGTTGTTCACCCAGATCAGGGCTACCAGGGGATGTATCATTTAAAGCGGTACCCCTAGGTTTAGGGGTACATCCAGAAACGGGGAGAATTGGTGTCCTGGATAAGGGGATTATGATGCAGACTGAGGGGAGGAGATGTGTGGGAGGTTACCAGAACAGGATTGGCTACTGTACTAATAAATGGAAATCCCTCCCTTGCATGGGAGCATGCTTTATAAGGCCACTGTGTGAATAAATCTTTAGTTCTGCTCCTGATACTGTGTGTCGTCCAGTTATTGGGAGTGCTGTTGGGATACTGCTGTATTGTTTTGTCTGCTGGATACTTTGCCTATGGATTTATAATTACTTGTTCCTGAGCCTCACTGGGATCTACAAGTGGAGGTAGGCTATGAAATACTAGCTCTCCGCTACAGTGTGTGTGTCTGTGTATATGAGTGTATGTGTGTGTGAGCATGCATTTATATATGCATACGAGTGTATATTATTTTTTTTGGGGGGGTGGGTCTTGGGTGAGTTCCCATACTTTATTCCCTAGGACTTGACCCCTGTTTGTATGTTTTTAGTAGAATTATACCTGCTGCAGTAATCTTAAGTTTCCAAATCGGCTGCAAAGAAAATACAGGATGAAGGGTAGTAGGGACTAAACAGATCCCAGACTGATAAAACCTCACATCTGCCAATTTAGAGACAAATTTATATGAATAAACTCAAACCACCTCTTGTTGTTCACCTGGTATGGAGATATTTTTTTCCATATATGGAATTGTTATACCTCCTCTGTTCCAGAAACACCTCACAAGACCTGTCTGTGACTTAGAATAACTGGTTTAGTAGTTCCTCCTCAAACAGCTCAAGGTTCACTGGTCATGTTTGGACATATTGAACTCAGGATTATTAATATTTTTAGTATATAAAACGTACAACCACGAATGATGCAACAACCCATGTGTCAGAATAGTCACACAAGCAGGGGACAACATAAAAGGGTTCATTAGATATAACATTATGCAAGTCAAAGCAGATTGTCACATGTCAGGGAAGGGGTAGCATCCACAGGTGCTGTGACACCCCTTCTCTCCCACTCTCCTATGCCCTGTGCCAAGAATCAAACCTTATGCTATTATTGTTGTTAATTCCAGTATTTAAAAAAACAGGCATTCATATTCATCAGACCCCAGTCAATAGGCAACAATAAGCGGTTTATTGTTACATCCCCCACTACAATAGAGACCCTACTGGAATGAAAGTGTTCTGCACAATTAACTCTATATATTAAATAATGGTTGAAGAATGGTTGAAGAAATGGTGACCTCCAAAAGGTTTAACGGAGTTGGATAAACTATGCGCCCTGTTGGACCTCGAGAATGGCCATGGATCCCCAGAGTTCTGGCAGAATCTTACAATACAGTACATTGACTGGTTTACCCTCGTTACCCATGTCCTGTAAAATGTCCTCCATTTCTTTCACAATAACTCGAACAATGACGCTTAAATGGAGAGGATAAAGGAAAATATTACATCCAGGGCCAACAGAAAATGTGAGGAAGAAAACTTAATGTGTCAATATGTTTTCAACAATGTAACTTGAAGTGGAGTATGCTAAGTAGAGCTAGGACAATTCCCCTTCCTGTGCATTTAATCTCCACATATTATCAGTTATCATAGATAAATAATATCAGTTCTGCTGTACAAGAAAACCAGACTGAATATGGCATCAGAAAGATCCCTCAGAGTGCTCATTCCCCTCCTTTGCTTTATTCTTGATGTGCACACAGGTAGGTACCTGTACTGTATTACACCTGTACTACAGGCTATATTAAGCCAACCTTGCAACTATATGTGGTATTTGTCCTTTGCTAAGAATTTTACCTATTCTTGCAGGGTCCTTGAATTACCAGATTATTGGTGGTCATGAGGCTGTTCCTCACTCCAAACCATGGATGGCATATATTAGCTATACAAATCATGGGATGACCTATATTTGTGGAGGATTTTTGGTTAGGAAGGACTTTGTGATGACTGCTGCACATTGTGGTGGGAGGTGAGAAAGATTTATATTACATTGAAAAATTGGAATGGCAAGTCTAAAATGTGTATGTGTGTGTATGTGTATGTGTATGTGTGTGTATGTGTAGACAGAAGATTGAGTGGTTTATTTATGTCTCTTGAACTTTTAGATTGCATTATTTTGCACATTAGTGGATCTTTTTACATTTCATTTTTTATATTGCAATGCCATTCAGCTCCTCTTAGAAACATAGAATGTGACTGCAGATAAGAACCATTTGCCCATCTAGTCCACACCTTAAAATGCCTTCAATGGAAATATGAGTGTCATAACTGAACCAATGAGCAATGGAAGAATATTGCCTGGTCTGATGAATCACGTTTATTTTGGATCAATTGGATGACCGTGGGTGTGTTTGTGCCATTTATCTGGACTGTATAACACAGGCCTGGAGCTTGCAATCTAGTTTGTATTTTTTGGAAGTAAATATCTACCAACTGATTTTTAACAACTACTTTTGTAAAGAGAAAACAGCTCTGGTAGCACAATTATGTTATTTTTAATTTTTTTTTAAATTATTGGGGGTGCTGTCCGGTTAAATATTTAATTTTAAAAAATCATGCAATTTTGCCCTATATTTTCTAATAAAAGTAAAATAAACTTCTCATGTACATTATGCTAATTAATTATTTTGTCGGCTTACATCCCGTTTGAGTATTAGAATCCTTGGTTACCCTGGAAAATGTGTGGAGCCAATCCATTCTTAGTTCTTGAACTCCTCCTTGTGTTCATACTAGTGAGTTGCAATTTCTACCAATATAATTAGGACTTTATATGCTGGTATAATAATGTCAGATTACTCATAGAGAAAACCTAAAAAAAGATTGTTATGTACATTTTTAAAATGTGTTTTCTCACGTCTCCATGAATTTCTATTGCCTCCATATGTTCAGTTAAATATTGATAGTTTTGTATATTTTCCCTCCTGTCTACATGGTTTTAGTTATATGGTACTATATTTTTAATATTCCGCGAGTCATATGTGTGTGTTTTCTCCTGTCTACATTTATGATAAATTCATACTTCATCAGAATCAGTTATATTTGCATATGCCGCCAGTAATATGAGGATTTTTGTTATATCATATTCACATCGTTTGCACATTGTTAGTAAACTTGTGCAAAATTTACTAAGTAAGACTGCACAGGAAGATCGTGGACGATCGTTTAGTTCAGGTTTGGAGTACAAGGATTTGATTTAGTCCAAATTTTTTTTTGCAGAAGTCTATTTCTTAATATGTGCATAACTGTATAGTTACGTATGTAAAGTCTTTGCTCTGGGAATTTAAGCATGCATGTTTTACAAGCATGCACAAGTATTCTCTTGTTTTATATGGTTTCAGCTATACATATAGCGTGCCCTGTCTAACCGTACACCTATTTTACAGATAAAATGCCCCTAATGCCAAGGAGTCTATAACTGCCATCTAGGATGGATAGAATTGACATTGAAAATATAGAAGCGTAAAATGTGCATTATCAAGGTGTATGAAAGGGCAATCTCTGGGTGCTGGGCTGTCACGGTGCATCACGAGCCCTACATACAGCAAGACGTGGCTGCTCCTTTAAGAGACCTGGCTGGGTTTGAACTCACAGCTCCAGCATCCCAGTAAGGTTGTCTACTTTGCTGTCCACTAGGTGGGCTCAGTATCTGCTCTGATTCGTCTGCTCTGATTCGTCTGCTACCTGATTCCTTTACCTGTATTCCCTGCCACTCAGCAGCGGCGTGCAGAAGTGTCTTCCCAAACCTCTCCTGTCCGCCGGTGTGTTTCTCCTCGGTGGACGGATCAGGTGACGTGTACCATGACCCACATGCTGCTCCAGGATCTATTTAAACTCTTAGAATCCTGTGCACCCTAGTATGAGTTCCAGTTGCAAGAAAAAGTATGTGAACCCTGTGAATGTTTACATGGTGTGTTCAATAAAAACATGGCAACATTTCATTCTTTGTGTGTTATTAGTTTAAGCAGACTGTGATGGTCTATTGTTGTGACTTAGATGATGATCAGATCACATTTTATGACCAATTTGTGCAGAAATCCATATCATTCCAAAGGGTTCACATACTTTTTCTTGCAACTGTATATGGAAGCAGTGTGGAGGTCAGTGGGTATACAAACAGACATAGCGTCCCACCCACATAGGAGAGTTGTCTCACCAGACCACTGGCTACCCTGTCTCTTTAAAGAGGCCCTTAGATCCCTCCTCTTGGGAGGGCCCTTATTCCCTTTCCCCTATATAAGCACAGAACGCCCTTGGTTCTGTACTCAGTTGTTTTGTTCATCCCTAGGAGTAAATAGCCATCTCCTAAGGCATATTGCCTACCTTTGTTTATGGGAAAAAAACCTTGCAGTGTATCTTGTTTCCTGCGGATTCCCCTTTAAAAGGACTTTTGCATATTTGACTTTGCATTGGATTAACCCTTGCAACACTATTCCCCTTTAAAGGACTTTTGCATATTTGACCTCACATTGGATTAACCCTTGCTACACTGATTCTCCTTTGGACTGCCTTACCTAGTTTAGTAACTGTGGTAAAGGACTCTATTTGCTTTAAAGAAATTTATTTGCACATTGACATAATTACTTTGCTGTTCCTTTTATTTTCTGCATGTGAAACCTGCATTTACGTTACAAATAAAAGACCTGTTAATTTGGTGAATGTGCTCGCCTCCATCTCTGCATCCTGAGCCCATTCACCCAAATCCATGGCATGGGCAGAGCCCTGTTTTTCTCAAACTGCTCCCGCACAGTTTGATAAAACAAAACATGCAACCACATCCAAAGACTTTTGACAGGAAAACCATTATTACATTGAAATGGCATACTCATATTGCTTAGAAAGCCTCTTTAATTAGCTGTGAAAGGATATATGTTACATTTACTAACCCATAATATAAGTCAAATGGATTTACAAATACTAGTAAGGCTATTCACTATAGTAAGAATTCAACTTGAATTTCAAATTTAAAGCCAAAGTACCTGAACTGGAAGCATAACTTAGAAAATAATTCCAGTTTGGCTATTTTGACCTTACATTTTAAAATTCATTTTGAATTCACTCTGAAGTCTCTCTAAGTGAATAACCATGTAATTAACATTTTATGTATTATTTCTTTCATTTAGCAACATAAAGGTGTCTCTTGGACTGCATGCTGTTAAAGAGAAGAATGATAAGAACACATTCTCTGTACTTAACATCTACCGCCACCCCAACTACAACAGTGAAACCCATGAGAATGACATCATGCTCCTACAGGTCAGCAAAGATGAGGAATAATAACTTCAAGTCTCAATTAGTAGAAGCACAAACTAGAAGTGATGCTTGTCTGGATCTTGTCAAAACTAATAATGTTAACTTGTTTTCAACCATTCAGGTTAGGGAGCACCTGGGAGCTTGACCATAATATATTGCAGGGGTCACAGCTTCCACAGGGCCCGTCACTCCAGGGGCCCTGGCTGCAGCTGGGACCTCTGTGACCGTGGGCCATCACAACTTCAGGGCTGGTGATTGCGGTTGCCGGGTTAACAGGAGGAAGGGAGCACTGTGCTGTGCTGCTCCCCTCCTGATGATCTCTGAGAGTTGTGTGGATGAGCACCACGGCTGACAGGTAGTGCTCAGTGATAGGCAGGGAATGAGACACATGGAGGGGCTGGGGGGAGAGGGAAAGACATATGGAGGGGCTTGGGGATGGAGAGACTTTACTAATCTGCAAAATACTGTCACTCTCCCCCTTGTAACTTACAACCCTACTAAAGGCCCCTCCCCATTTATCTCTTCCTCTTTCTTTGCTGCTCCTGCTGGCACAGGTCAGAGTATTTTTTCCTCCATATGTTATTACTATACCATTGCTTAATATGATCTATAACTCATACTGTTTATAGCCTTATTGTATGTGTGTACCCTTCCCTTCCACCCCTGGATATTGTGTATCCTTCTTCTCCCACCCTACCTCTGGTTTTACTATTTATCCTGGGCTGCCACAGCTAGTGTAACGTTCACTAGGGAACCCTAACATGCAGACAGGACAGAGTAGAGAGAATTGCAATAACGATTCTTAGAATGGTCGAGTTACGCAAAAAGGGATAGTCAAAATACGAGCCGAGGTCGAAGGAAACAGAGAGATATCATAGCGAGAGACAAAGCCAAATATTAGTAACCAGGAAATCCAAATAACAAGTACAACCTTACAAGAGTAGAAAGTATGGCTCTTAAAGATTTAGGGAAAGACACCTATTGTTATTAAACCTGCCGATGAGGGAGGTGGAGTAGTGGTATGGCAAAAAGAAAAATATATTAAAGAGATTTGTAACCAGTTAGGAGATATAGAGACATATATAAAACTCCCAAAAAATCAGTTAGAAGATATTAAGACCAAATTTTAAGTATATCTGGATAAATGCTTGGAACAAGGAATCATAAATAAAAAAAAGAATATGATTTCTTGGATGTTAATTATCCAAGAATACCCATCATATATGTGCTAACCAAAATCCATAAGAACATTAATAACCCTCCAGGGAGACCTATAGTGTCCGGGATTAGTTCCTTTTTATCTCCTCTATCACAATATTTGGATCAATTTTTACAAAGCCCTGTTAAAAAGTGTCCATTTTATCTTAAAGATACCATGAGCATTCTACAGTTTTTAAAAGATTTTAAATGGGAAGATGATTTTTTAATGGCCACATGTGATATAAGTAGCCTATATACGATTATCCAACACGAGAGAGGATGTGAGGCTACTAGGCACTTTTTAAACAAGTTTGAAGACATTAAAGCTACCCAAATAGATTTTTTAATTGAAGGCATTTTAATAATTCTAACTTTTATAACTTTTTTTGGTTTAATAAAATTTTTTACTTACAGACCAAAGGATCGGCTATGGGGACCAGGTTTGCCCCAAGTTATACCAACCTATTTATGTCATACTGGGAGGAATTATTTATTCTTTCCAGGGATGACATAGGGGCAAACCTGGTCCTTTATAAACATTATATCGACAACATTTTTATTATTTGGAGAGGAACTAAAGAATCTCTTGTTAACTTTTTTTCTGATCTTAACCAGAAAGATTGGAATATTAACCCCTTAAGGACCAAACTTCTGGAATAAAAGGGAATCATGACATGTCACACATGTCATGTGTCCTTAAGGGGTTAAACTAACTTATGATATTAGTCACTACAATATTAACTTTTTGGATTTATCTATTTATGTTAAAGAAGGACAGATTAAAAGTAAAACTTTTTTAAACAGGTTGATGTAAATAGTTTTATTAATTTTAAAAGATGCCATTTTTAAACCATGCTTGACCAATATCCCCAGAGGCCAATTCCTTAGACTTAGGCGCAATTGTTCAGAACTTGAGGGATATAAAACTCAGTCTAATATCCTCGCAAATCAATTTATAGAAAAAGGATACATCATAACGCCAGTCCAATTTGCACATGAGGAAGTAGAAAATCAACCTAGAGACCAATTACTGATATACAAAAATAGACCCAAAAGTAATGGAGAAGAAGATAAGGAAATACCTTTAATTTTTGACTATTGTTCCAATAACTCCCGTTTACCTAAAATTATACAGAAAAATTGGCACATTTTAGAAGAAGATCGAGACATTCAGAAGTTTCTCGGCAGTAAACCTAAGATTATTATTAGGGGAGCCAATAATTTTAGGCAAATCTTAACTAATAGTTTTCTAGAGGAGAAAGAGGTATCAAGTGGTAATTTTCTTAAAGTAACACATGGTTTTTATTATTGTAATAACTGTAGAGGGTGTACATTAAGAAAGAATAATAACAAAAAGGTTACAAAATTCACCTCATTCACTAATAATATACAAAACGATATTAAATCCTTCATCACTTGCAATTCAAAAAATATAATTTATATGTTAATATGTCCCTGTGGGTTTCAGTACATAGGCAAAACCACAAGAGCCCTTAAGATACGCATAAGGGAACATATTTATAATATTAACAGAAAATTTTACCAACATAGCGTATCTGGACATTTTTTTAAAGGTTCACAAGGGCGATGCAAGAGGTTTGGATTTTATGGGTATTGAAAAAATGTAAATCCACTGGAGAGGAGGTGATATTAATAGCCTTAGTAAAGCAGAAATGAAATGGATTTTTAATGTTGATACCTTATTACCTTATTATTCAAGGCTAAAATGCAGATTTTGAAATAAAATTCATGTGTATATATATATTATGTTTTTATTTATTATATGTAGTTTCATAGTTACATAGCTGAAAAGAGACTTGCGTCCATCAAGTTCAGCCTACCTCACATTTGTTTTTTGCTGTTGATCCAAAAGAAGGCAAAAAAAACCCAGTTTGAAGCACAATTTTGCAACAAACTAGGAAAAAAATTCCTTCTTGACCCCAGAATGGCAGTCAGATTTATCCTTGGATTAAGCAGTTATTACCCTACATTGAAAGATTATATCCTTGAATATTCTGTTCTTGCAAGTAAGCATCTAGTAGCCGTTTGAACATCTGTATGGACTCTGATAAAATCACTTCCTCAGGCAGAGAATTCCACATCCTGATTGTTCTTACAGTAAAAAAACCTTTCCTTTACCTTAGACGAAATCTTTCTTCCAGTCTAAACTCATGGCCTCGTGTTCTATGTAAAGTCCAGTTTGTGAATAGATTTCCACACAATGGTTTGTATTGGCCACGAATATATTTGTATAATGTTATCATATCCCCTCTCAGGCGACGTTTTTCTAAACTAAATAGGTTTAAATTTGTTAACCTTTCTTCATAGCCGATATGTTCCATTCCTTTTATTAATTTTGTAGCCCGCCTCTGCACTTTTTCTAGTGCCATAATATCCTTCTTTAGAACAGGTGCCCAAAATTGCACAGCATATTCAATATAGGGTCTTACCAGTGATTTATAAAGAGGCAAAATTATATTCTTGTCCCGAGAATGAATGCCCTTTTTCATGCATGACAATACCTTACTGGCCTTGGCCACTGCTGATTGACATTGCACATTGTTGCATAGTTTGTTGTCTATAACAATTCCCAAGTCCTTTTCGTGTGTTGTTATCCCTAATTCGCTTCCATTAAGGGTATACGTTGCTTGTGTATTCTTTACGCCGAAGTGCATAACTTTGCATTTTTCAACATTAAATTTCATCTGCCATTTGAGTGCCCAGTCCCCCAGTCTATCTAAGTCCCTCTGCAGCAAAGTAATATCTTGCTCACATTGTATTGTTTTACAAAGTTTGGTGTCATCTGCAAACACTGAAACATGACTTTCAATGCGGTCTTCAAGATCATTTATAAACATGTTAAATAGAAGAGGTCCCAGAACAGACCCCTGAGGGACACCACTTGCCACCTCTGTCCAGCTTGAAAATTTACCATTAATGACAACTCTTTGTACTCTGTTTTTAAGCCAATGTTCTACCCAAGAACAAGCATTTTCATCTAGACCGATTTCCTTGAGTTTGAACACTAATCTATTGTGTGGAACTGTATCAAATGCCTTGGCAAAATCCAAATAGATCACATCCACGGCAACACCCTGATCTATACTTCTACTTACTTCTTCGTAGAACGCAATCAAGTTAGTTTGACATGACCTGTGCTTCATAAAACCATGCTGATTTTTGCTGATAACCATGTTCTTCTCAAGGAATTCTTGAATATTATCCCTTAATAACCTTTCAAATATTTTACCAGCCACAGAGTTAAGCTCACAGGTCTAATTTCCAGGCAAGGATTTTGAACCTTTTTTGAATATAGGAACCACATCTGCCTTCCTCCAATCCTCCGGAACACTTCCTGAAAGAAAAGAATCTTGAAAGATTAAAAACAGAGGTTCACTTATTTCTGCACTTAGTTCCTTAAGTACACATGGATGGATACCGTCAGGCCCTGGAGCTTTGTTTATATTAACTTTCTTTAGTTGCTGCAGCACCTTGTCTTGAGTTAACCAATTACAATTATTCTGCAAGTTTTTAGTAGCTATCATTTGCACATCTATTGCCATAGGTTCTTCCTTAATATATACGGAGGAGAAATAGTTATTTAAAATTCCTGCCTTTTCCTGGTCTTCATTAATTAACACCCCCGTTTCAGTTTTTAGTGTACCTACACTTTCATTTTGTTTTTTTTTTGAATTTATGTACTTAAAAAATGCTTTGGGGTTGGTTTTGCTCTCTTCAGCTATCATTATTTCATTTTGAAGTTTAGCAAGTCTAATTGCCTTTTTGCACGCATTATTTGCATCCTTATATCTTTTATAAGATGCATCTGATTTGTTCGATTTAAATGCTTTAAATGCCCTTCTCTTAGTTGTAATCTCTTGTTTTACTTCTCTACTAAGCCACATTGGTTTTAATTTGTTTCTTTTATATTTATTTCCCAACGGTACATACTGAGAAATGTACCTTTGTAATATTTGTTGGAAGATGATCCATTTATCCTCAGTGTTCTTTTCACTAAAGAGTTTATGCCAGTCAATATATTGTAAAGCTTCCCTTAACTTATTGAAATTGGCCTTTTTAAAATGATATGTTTTAGTATTCCCCATGTGCTTTTGTTTTTTTGAGTTTATTTCAAAGGACACTATATTGTGATCACTATTTCCCAAGTGCTCACCTACTTGAATGTTGGTCAAAAGATCAACGTTGTTTGTTAAAACCAGGTCCAGACAAGCATCCATTCTAGTTGGTGCTTGCACAAGTTGTGACATGAAGGTGTCATTTAACAAGTTTAAAAACCTAATTCCCTTTGCTGAGGCACTAGTCCCTCTGTCCCAATTTATATCCGGGTAATTAAAATCTCCAATAATTAAAGTGTTACCCAGATTTGCAGCTTTCTCAATTTGCTCAAACAGCTGTTGTTCCTCGTCAATATTAACATTAGGTGGTTTATAACATATCCCAACCAATAGTTGGTTTCCCTTCTTTTCCCCCAAGCAGATATTTACCCATAAAGCTTCCACATTATCCTCCTCGCATTCCATTTGCTTAACATTTGGCTTTAAATCATGTTTGACATACAAACATACCCCACCACCCTTCTTGTTTTTCCTATCCTTCCTAAATAACATGTACCCATTTAAGTTAGCTGCCCAGTCATGTGTCTCATCCCACCATGTTTCAGTTATGCCTATTATATCATATTGTTTAGTGTATGCTTATGCCTCTAGTTCCCCCATTTTGTTATTTAGGCTCCTTGCATTAGTAAGCATACATTTAATATTATGCGTCACTTGTATATTTTGTGAATTTTCAACATTACACAGCTCCTCTGTTCTGAGCTTGCCCCTCCCCCCGTTTCCACCCCCCTTATACTGTGCTAAAGCCCATCTCCTTTCTGTCCTATCTCCATTTTGTAGATTGCTATGACCCTCCCCCCCTACTACTAGTTTAAAATCTCCTCCAACCTTCTAGCCATCCTATCCCCCAGCACTGCAGACCCTCTCCCGTTTAGGTGCAATCCATCACCACTATAAAGGTTGTACCCAATCGCAAAGTCGGCCCAGTGCTCTAAAAACCCAAAACCCTCCTTCCTGCACCAAGACTTAAGCCACGCATTGACCTCTCTAATCTCCCGCTGCCTTTCCACTGTAGCGCGTGGCACAGGTAATATCTCAGAGAATACCACCTTGGAGGTCCTTTTCTTAAGTTTGCTACCTAATTCCCTGAAATCATTCTTTAGGACCTTCCATCTTCCTCTTACTTTGTCATTGGTACCAACATGGACCATGACCGCTGGGTCATCCCCAGCCCCTCCCAATAATCCATCCACTCTGTCAGCAACATGCCGGACCCGAGCACCCGGGAGACAGCAAACTGTCCGGTTGAGCCGATCAGAGCTCCATGCTTGTTATATTTTTATACAGGCTTTTTTCACAAGTTGATTTGATACCCCAATATTAAATAGGATGCTTTTTATACATATATTTTATATATATTTTGTATTATATTTATTAGAAATCTCTAATGCTGACTATATCTGAATATAATAGATTCAAATATAATAGATTTTAACATAATGTTTAATAATCAGTTTTTTTATAACTTTTTATATGTTTATAATTTCGCAATGTTTACTATACAAATGATGAACTTCAATTAAATGGAGTTAGATTGCCTTATAAGTTAATATACCCGTGTGTAGCAAGCTCTACCTCTAAAAGACTCCAATAAAATGGCGCCGATGTGCCTTTAGAGTATAACACTCTGCATAAAGACTCTATAGCTTTGAAATTGACATTGACCTAATGACGTCACTACGTGATGACGTCGAGACTTCCCTGTGATGCAGAATAGAGATGCCTAGACGCATATCAATGATGAAAGCGGAAGTGCCGACCTGAATCATCAATCGAGATCCGAAAAGGCGCCAAGTCTAAAAGGTTCAAAATAGAAGATCATGCAGGAGGACAGTAGCAACCCACGTTTGAAAGGCGTTGGCCGAAACTCTGTGCCATAATGTTTGGGACTTCGAAGAAAGGATTTAATGCTATATTTGTATATAGTACCTTAACAGAGCTACCTCCCTGTCATTTTTACCAGCCACCTGTGGCTGCATTAGGGTGACCCCCTTACTATTACTGGGGCGACCCCCCAAGTACTGGAGTGCCTATATCTGTATGATGAAACTGTACAAGTTGCTTGGTGTCGGAGAGTTAGAGCCCTGCTGTAAAACTGGGGTGAACCCCACATTCACGCGCCCTGACCATTTGGCAGGCTGCTTTCATTGGGGGGTGACCCCTCCATTGGAACCATCCCATCCTACGGGACAATACAGGGGTGACCCCCCTATTGATTTATGAGACTGTCAGTGTCTCCAATACTACCAAGGGAAACCCCCTTGCTTAAATACACAACCGCTGGCACCGGTCTTTAGAGGGTGACCCCTTCTCATTTGGCACTCCAACCACTTTGTGCACAAATTCTGAGTGACCCCCAGTTATACTAGAAGCCAGATACCCTGCAACATTACGTGGTGCACTCGTGTTTCTTACAGGTATCCTGTTCTGCCATTACAGGAACACTATGGCAAGATGTCTGACCCACCACAGACCCAGACTTGAGACTTCCAAAGCATGATAAATGCTGCCATAGCAGCGTCGGTGGAGTAGGCGCTTTACAGAGTACGCACCCTCCCATCTGAGAACAAGGGACATATCCCATCCGACATGCATGATGTGGAGGGAGCAGACGGCTCTGAGACCCAGTGTACCCATGTCCGTACCTAAATGGCACTGGAAGGACTCCAGCTCCGTAACCAGAAAAACTAAAGGGAAGGTTCCTCTCAAAAGACCTAAGTGTGTAGAATAACACAACGTACTCCCACCTCCACTTCCATTCACCGAGGAGGAAGGCTGTTATCCGAATTCAACCTAATATGGCGATTGTGGACGAATGGCGAGCTGACAGCTTGACCTCTGATGATGACTGGCATGGTATGCCGCGTACAGAATCAGATTACATAAAATAATACATAGTAAAGCCTTCTCCACGTAGAAAGGGTAGCCACAAACTTACAAACACAGATGAAGGCGTGTTCATTAATACCCAGGGTTTGCCCCTATTTGACCCACGGGCAGTACGACACCCAAGATTTTCAGAATAGGTGTCTTCCGGATCATCTCGCACAATACGTGCATTTTTGGCTACGAAAGCCTTTGGAGAAGAAGGCTTCACAGGATAAACTCCTGGACATGTTGGCTCCACTGGCAAAGATCCTATACTATGCAGATCTCGCTCTCTCATGCAACACCCCACTGGATCCAAACGATATTCGAGAATGGGCTCAGAGAGTCATCTGTATGCTAGGTAACACAAATGCGGATCTATGCACTGAATGATGTAAGGTCACTCTTCTGAAGATCGACAACAAGCTCTTGGATCTGGGGAAGAAAGAACTAGGACCATTGGCAAATGGTTTGTTATTTGGTGAACCTTTCATCACTGAACTTAAAGCATGTGAACCTCGTCACCACTCTGAACAAAGTCCAGTCATCATTGAGACAAGTGTTTCGCCCTAACCTTGGCAGGGGTCCTCCTCCTTTGCGTGTGGCAGTGACCCACAGGTCGCTCATAGATGAAGAGATCTGTGCCCGGTTTGCCAAAGGAGCAGTCCAAGTGGCTGCGGACACAACAGGTTTCTTCAACAATATATTCGTGGTCAAGGATAAGACAGGAGACTACCGCTCAGTCATCAATTTACGTTGCTTGAACAACATTGTAGTATACCGCCATTTCAAAATGGAAGGCCAACGACTGGTTCACCCATCTAGATCTAAAGGATGCCTGTAGCGGATGGCACCAGGCTCTCCTGCAAATATATTGTACATAACTGCATTCGTGTGATCTGCTGTGTTATATGTCTTTTAAAAGAATTGTATTCCTCTGATTGTTCGGTAGTTTCATTCCCTTAGTTCATTCGAATGAAACTACCGAACAACCAGACCTCCCCTGGGTGAAGTGTGTCCTCAATTACCCGTTGCAACATTGTTGCGAACGGATAATTGCCTAGTAAGTAGCCGTCCTTTGTTCTCGGGGGTGGCCGCCATTCGACAAACGAACACGTGGCGGCGGCCATTTTAAAACTCCCGAACAGCGGTGTTTTGCCGTCGAGTGTCTGGAACTAAAATCGGACACTCGAGTAGGCGAACACCGCTAAGACCTCCACAAGCCGGTCCGTTCGGTTCCTAACTACCGAACGGCCCCTCGTTCGGTAGATAGAAAGAACCGAACGAGGGGATTCAGGCGAACCCTCCCTAGCCTCTATAGCTAGAGGTTTTCATGTATTTTATTCCCTTATGCCAGTACCGACCGCAGGGGCCATTCGCATGGAACCTCATTCGGCTATCTCAGTTAGTGCGGTCGGTCATTTTATTCCCTCCATACATTTCCCGAACCCCTGGTCTGATCTGGGTGATTTTTGGATATGTTGTTCACCCAGATCAGGGGTATCCGGGGATGTAGGATTTTAAGCGGTACCCCTACATTTAGGGGTACATCCAGAAACGGGGGGGGAATTACTGTACTGGATAAGGGGATTATGATGCTGGCTGAGGGGAGGAGATGTGTGGGAGGTTACCAGAACAGGATTGGCTACTGTAATAATTATTGTAAATTCCTCCCTTGCATGGGAGCATGCTTTAAAAAGGAGACTGTGGATTAAAGCTTTCAGTTATGCTCCTGAAACTGTGTGTCGTCCAGTTATTGGGATTGCTGTGGGGATATTGCTGTATTTTACCTGCTGGAAACCTTGCCTGTGGATTTACTATTTACTTGTTCCTGAGGCTCACTTGGATTATAAGAGGAGATAACCTGGGGAATATTGCATCTCCGCTACAATGCCTATCTCTCGTTCCCTGTGGCACCAAAGAGCAGAGATTCATCTGGCCGGACTGTCCTTGCCAATTCACATGTCTGCCATTCAGACTCAGCTCGGCACCATGGTGCTTCACCAAGTTTCTGAAACCAGTAACGGCTCACCTATGATACAAATATATTCGCTGTCTGGTCTACCTGGACGTCATATTGATCTTTTGCGATTCCATCTCCAGACTGCGCTCACAGATGGAATTCATTGGGTACTTTCTGGAGTCACTGGGATTCATTGTGAACAAGGAAAAAAAATCATCTCTAACGGCCTCTCAGTTAATACAATTCCTGGGATTCGAGATCCACTCGACCAAATGCATCCTTCACTAACCCAACACAAAAATCAAAGCCATTTGCAGAGAAATCAGGCATATTCTACACAAGTTTATAAACAACTAAAAAAAAGGACAAGAGAAGGCGCTTAAAGATATAGAACAAAAAGTGCAGCTGAAAATAACCCAAGTGTAGTGTCACCAAAATACACTTAAAATGTGATAAATTAAAAAAAAAAGGGGGTGATTAGCGCACACGTAGGAATAGCTCAATTTTACCTTACAAAGATTTTTTGGGTAAACACAAAGCAAATACTTTTTACACCTATATAAAGACAGACAAAGCATACATAGTGTAATCTGTTTAAAAGGTAATGAAGTGAGGAAAAATATTTCTTCAAACTCACAATTTTCGGAGCTATTAGTAAGTTAGCTCTAAACTTTATACACTGTTGCAATACGTTTTTTTCACTAAACTTTATTGTTAAATCTGTGCTGCTGGAGTTTAGTAAAGAGAGTTTAATGCAAAATATTCGCCTCCTGTACTTAATAAAATTAAGATTATAGGTACACTGAGTTAGCATAATCTACAATTAATTTACATATGACACATTTAGACTGAAAGAACAGTGACAACATTAAGGATGTGGAAGTCTCTGCCTGAAGGGGTGTTTTTATTAGAGTCTATACAGATTTTTAAACAGCGACTGGATGAATTATTGCAAACATAATAGTTAGGGATGTAGTATTTATTATGATGAGTAATAGCTTCTTGCTCCAAGCAAATATCTGACTGTTATTCTGGAGTTGATAAGGAATTTGTTTCTTAAATTGTTGCAAAATTGGAAAGGGCTTTAAACTTTTTTTTTTTTTAAATCATCTTTTGGATCAACAGCAGTAACAAAAGGTTGAACTTACAGAGAAAAGTATTTTTTTCAGCCTGTGTAACTATGCAATCTGCTTATGATGCTAATAAAATTTTAAATTATTAATTGCATTTGATAAATCAGTGTTGAAAATGAAGTATAGAAACTGGTGCCACAGACCATTCCTAAGCAACATGTTCTTGGAAAATGCTTTGGCTGCCAGTGCATACATATATACTGTATATGCAAACAATATTCATATGGCTTGTGTGTCCTCTACACAACCAGTTCTCCTGTTTGAATAGTTTAAATGCTTGGCCAGCATAAAAAAACGGTGAAGTGTCAGAAGGTTAATAATGAATGTGAACTCTTTATATATAACATATTGTCCTAACCTATTTTGTTTTGTTATATCATGTAGACATGAATATTTAAATGTTGGTCTTTTTCTAGATGAATGATGAAATCCTGTTGAATGAGAACATAAAAGTCATTGCTCTCCACAAAAAAAACAAGAAAGTGCCGGTGGGCACAGAATGTAACGTTGCAGGCTGGGGAAAGACAAACAGATATTTAAATGTATCATCTCAAGTACTTATGGAGGTTAATGTAACTATTGTCAGAAACAAGGAATGCCAAAATATCCTAGATATGCCCATTGACAGTTCCATGATATGTGCAGGCCAATCTGGCACCAAGGGGGATGCAGCTCAGGTAATAAAGCCTCAGAAAAACTATATATTCTCAGCCATGCTGTTGTGAGTACTGCTGAAGCACAGATATATACAAATGTAATATGTTGGTAATCCTTCAATTTACTAAAAAGTAAAAATGAATTACATTTGGAAGTTAGTTAATAGATGAGTAATGTTTACTGTCATGGATTGTGGGCATACTTTTCCCCAACATAGGTGACTTTTCACTTTATCTGAAAAAAAAAATGGGCAAACTCTTGATTATAAAAATATACTGGATACATCTCTATCCAAAGACAGAGCCCCCTAGCTGTTAAGTAAGACTTCACAGACAATAATACCTTCTCTAAAGGTATAGAGTGTTATTGTCTGTAATTTGTTACCTACCAGCTAGGGGTCTCTGTCTTTGGATAGAGCTTTCTCCTTTAAAAAATTTCCAGTTCTATATTTGGATTCATACCCTGGGTAGACTGGTACTACCCACACTGACACTGTCCCATTTAAAGCGGTGATCCTCTTTTGTTGAGTGTCCACTCTAGGCAAGACATCATACTTTATTAAGTTTTTGATTATAGCTGCAACCGGCTAACCTTCTTCTCTGCTTGCATATATAACAATGCCACACTCGAAAAAAATATATGGTGGAATCAGGGAAATAACAGTATTCTCGCTGTGACATTATCCTTTTAAGATCTGTAGTTGAGAGCAGCCTGGTGCTCTACTCCTTTCTGTTGGGCTTAAAGACAAATATAATGTGTTTGTGAGACCTCAGTACTTAAAAAAAGAATGATGGCCCTCTCTCGACTAGTGTAAACAATGGTCAATCTGGAGCAAGGAATGATAGGCATAAAGAACGCAAAAAGAACGTGGCGTTGGTTAATGCACAGAAAAAACATGTTATGAGATCAGATAGGTGCAGTTAAAACTAATTCACAAAGTAAGTGGGGCAAAAAAGGAACGAAAGTATCTATGGGGTATATGAGTCAGAGAAGCAGAAGAATGGTCATTTTGAGGATTAACAGTCATTCTAAGAATATATTTGATTTAAATAGGAAGAGTATACCCCACCATCATTAAAAATGTGATGTCTTGCCAAATGAAGAAGTTCATTTTGAAAACCTGATTAATTTAAGGGAACGCTATAGCATTAAAAATACAAATGTGTACTCCTAACACTATAGTGCCCTGTTAGCAGTTTAGGTGCCCTTATCCCTCCCCCCTAATAAATAATCCCATGTTAGAAACTGGGTATATAAAGCTTTGCAACCAAACAAGCAATTCATTTTAAGGAGTGCAGATTAAGGAGGCGTGGTAATAAACTGCTCAGCCAATTTGGAAGTAGCAGAAAATATACTAGGAAATGAATATTACACAGATCTGAGTGATGACCCAACTGAGGTTTTCGTAAGGAATGGTTGGCTACTGGGGACTTTCTGAATGGATTTATAGGTCAGAATGACAATCCTTTTATAATTTCTGAGAAACTGCAATGTTTAACTAAGACTGCCTCTAGTGTCTGACTTCCAGACAACCAGAAGAGGTGCTTTTTACGGAGTTTGACACCGTGAAAATGACACTGGATGTGCTGGCACTTTGCATGAGTACTTTCAGCGTCAAGGAAAATGCCATAGGAAAGAATTAAGACAAAGACAAATATATGTGGTAAAGGTCCTTAATAAATGTACTCCAAACTAAAAGGGCCTAACCCTAATTGGATGTAACAGAGGAGATAAGATTCTATCTGAGAACCAGTATGTAAGGAGTAACATGAAATATAGAGCTAAATAAAGAAAATAATATATACAGCAAAATGTTCCAGAAAAACTAAATCAGGTGAAAAAAGAAAAAGAAAGCAAGGTATACAGAAGTATACTCTATTAGACATCCCACATGTGCCAATACTAAATACGTGGTTAAAATAACCTTTATTAAGTAGTTTGGGTAGCCTTACGGGATAAGTCTACTAAGTAGTTAAAAAGGTGAGGAGAGTAGTGATCAGTAGTAACAACAATAATTCACTAAAGAGCATAAAGGGAATCTAAACACTTATAGGGACATTGTGCTAATGACTCGAGAGTAGTGAGGAGTGTTACTACAAAGGACATCAGCCTCTACAATCTCGTGAGAGACAGGAAAATACGTGCTGAATGTCTCTCCGGGGGAGGAGGGGAGAGCCTGAGAGGATAGGGTAAAACAAAATCACCAATGGCATTAGTATATAGTGGGAAAAACCAGTGCTAGATGCCTAGGTAGCAGAAAACTGGACTCGAGACCAAAGTACCAATAGGGCAATAGTCACTGAATAACCCACCTAAGAGCTCTCAGGGATGTCTAAACCCAAATCCTCAAATTATAGCTCAATACAGAAAAAACTCCTCCCTAAATCTCCCTCAAGTAGTCACTGTCAGTACGAAAGTGGGTAGTACTGGCACGAAGACTAAGAGAAGGACGTAAAACCGCTAAATACACACTAGATCCATGCTCTTACATAGATACTATAAACTAAGAGTATGAACACATAGGTCGTTCTAATCTGCCTAGCAATGCTCGAGGGAATCTCCAATGAACTAAACCCCATTAACGAGCTAATGCTAGAAACTAAAGTCTCATGAAGGAGGAAAGGAGCGTAAGCCCTAGAGTCAGAATAACCACACTCCTGGTCTTAAACGAAAAATCCTATCACCAAAAACGGGCCAACATCATACAAAAGAAAATAAAGCGTAAAAACTCCCAACACGCGTTTCGGCGCTATAGGTATGCGCCTTTGTCTGGGGCGAAGAAAATATATCCACACAGGACCATTTTTAAAGCTGCCCGCCATGGATCTAAACCCCGCTACCCCAAAGGTAAAGACCAATCGATGCACACTAAGCGTGTGTATAGGAGGAGCTAAGAAACTCCGTCCACATAGCTTGAGGAGGTGTTAACCCCAACAGTGCCACACATGCGGCTTGAACCGATTATCAGAAACAAAGTAAGCACTGCATTGGCAATGTGTGTGTATAGGGGCAAATAGTGCTTATGCCCTGCGATGTAAACAGCACCATAACTTAAAGGACCACTATAGTGCCAGGAAAACATACTCGCCGGGCTCTGGGGGGAGGAAGGGGTTAAACTTACCTCTTTCTCCAGAGCCGGGCAGGGAGCTCTCCTCCTCCTTTCCGCCTCCTCTCCTCCTCTTTGGCTGAATGCGCATGCGCAAGCAGGAATGCTTTCCTATGGATGCTGACGTCTTCTCACTGTGATTTTCACAGTGAGAAGCGCGGAAGCCCTCTAGTGGCTGTCAATGAGACAGCCACTAGAGGCTGGATTAACAGTTTCTCTGAAACTGTTATATTTATAGAAAAAAGGGTTAACCCTAGCTGGACCAGGCACCCAGACCCCCTCATTAAGTTGAAGTGGTCTGGGTGCCTATAGTGGTCCTTTAATGAGCATAAGATTGTTAGTCTAGTGCCAAAAACATACATATAACGATGTTCTGATTCAATGTTATTAAAGAGGCTTCCAAATATGTAGCAAGTCCAAAGTCTCAACAGATCCCTAATGAGGGACCTCAGGACAAGGGCATGGTTTCAGGACAAGGAAGGCTCAATGACTTCTAGGAATTATTAACAATTTATTGGGGATATACATCATAATTAGCTATGTATAAACTGGAGATACCCTATACAGTATTACAACATGAAAATTAGAATGGAGGAACGGAGTGGATAAAGTCTAAGCTAGAAATGCACAGACATATTACTGGAACCATGCCAAGAATAACTCGCTCAATGAAAGATATCAATGATGATATTAAAAGACAAACAGGATCCTAGTCATTAGGTAGAAATCTAAATATATAAACTAAATTAATCTATATACAATTTAAAGATACAGCAGTCAGGAAAAATAAAATAAAAATATATATATTAGAGATATATGGGTCAAATTACTCTAAGTACCGGAGTTAGTAAAAATCATAGGAACATAGGAAGGGGGAGTATGTGAAACCCTCATTAAGGCCGGGTGGTGCTAGAGTCTGTAGTTTGTAGATCCAAAAGGATTCTCTCCGCTTTAAACAGCGGTCCAAATTACTCCCTCTCTGGTCTAACTTAACATGTTCTATGCCTTGAAAACATAGATCGTTAGAGCAACCTGAATGTTCCCAGAGGTGTCTGGAAACAGGTGTATCACTTCTGTATCTCACAGAGTGGATATGCTCAAGGATACAAACCTTGAGTTGTCTGAAAGTTTTGCCTATGTATTTTTTACCACATAGGCAGGTGAGTAGGTAAACCACCCCAGTGGTGTTACAATTGAAAAAGTCCCTCACTTGCAACGTGATAGTATTCATAGAATCTTGGATGGTTTTAGAGTCTCCAGATAGGAATTTACACGCCAAGCATCTCCCACATTGGTAAGTACCAATTAAGGTGTTCTTCAACCAGGTCTGTGGAGAACTTTTACCCAGGAGATGGCTGGGTACCAACAAGTCCCAAAGGTTTTTGCCCCTCTTAGCTGTCAACGCTGCATATGGTGTCAAAACACGATTGAGATGTCGATCCTGTGTGAGTATTGGCCAGAATCTATTCAGGATGGACTTCACAGGTTCCCATCCTTGGTCAAACTCGGCGATACATCTTATTAGTCTGTCATCAGGATCTTTACGTTCACTCAAGAGCATGGTTTCACGGTTCATATCAAGCACCCTATGATAGGCTGATTTAAGACCCTGCTGGTTTCAAGTGCAAACAGAGACCATGTCAAAGTGCTTAGTGAATAGGCAATGTCTTTTTTATTCATGATAGAGCATATTGATGGGTACTTAATTAGAAAAATGTTTTGAGCTTTAGTGCTCAGAACCCATAATACTATAATTTACATTATTGTAGGTCCAGAGTAGGCAACCTTCGGCACTCCAGATGTTGTGGATTACATCTCCATTAATGTTTTTACAGTCACAATCCTAGAAAAGCATCAATGGAGATGACTTCCACAACATCTGAAGTGCCGAAGGTTGTGTATCCCTGATGTAGATGTTGAGAAACAGTTTATTTTTTCCTTGTTCTCTGGCTGAAAATTATGCCACGAGTGAGAGATAACCCATTTTTAATAAATAAAGAGCACATATGTCTTACTGTACTTTGCATAAATATGTCTAATGCTACATTTGTTTTGTTTTTAGGGTGACTCTGGGTCTCCTCTGGTTTGTGAAGGAGTAGCTACGGGCATTGTGTCTTTTGGGAATGAGAAACCGCCAGGGGTATATACCCTAATTTCAAGTTTTCTTCCCTGGATCAGGAAGATCATGTCATTCTCAAAACCTACCATGAAAGACAAAACGTATCGTCCCTTAACCAGTTAGGGACACATGACAGACATTTTCTGTCATTCTCTCCTTTTGCTTCCGAAGCTGTGTCCTTTAGTGGTTAATAGGGTGTGTTCTGCTTCTCAATAGCTTTTCCTATAAAGTAACTACCTGCATAAGCTCTCTCATGGGTCATAATATAAGCAAAGCCACACTAAAGTTAGCATAACACGGGCAAAGTGAGGAGGGCAGTGTGACAGATGGGAGAGGGGTGTATAGAGCAGCCTCCTCCTGCCGGTCACTTTTTGTAGTGTGGCCTCAAGGAAATGCAATAGATTATCCTTAATATCACATAATACACCTTGTTCAGGCTCAGAAGATTCAGGGTGAGTATTGCATTGTGTAATGATCCTGGATGTACCTCCTAAAGTTAGAGCCTGGTTTTTATTAAAGATTAATTACCTTAACTAGATACCATTGCTACACAGCATCACACATATAAGGCTGCATGAATCAAATTGTTTCAATAAAATAAGTTACTGTTTGATAGAATATATACTGGAATTTCCAATAAATGTGTACACTGTTCATTTAGTGGGATCCTACTTTTTCTTATTTTTTTCAGAATACTGTGGCATACTTCATACCTTGTGTCGATTACTTTTAAATCATAATTAAAATAAAAATTAAAAAATGAATAACCTATTTCTAGCTATAAATAGCTTTTGAATGGGCACAGGCCCATCATTTAGTATTAGAGATTTTCTATTTCTGACACTGTGGAGATATTGCCAATACTCAGCAGATTACAGTTTGTGATTAGCTGCTTTCTTTATAAAATACAGAGGTTTATTTGCATATAGTGTAAGTGTGTGAATACAGTGCTCTACAACTGAATAAATTAGGTGTGTGTGAAAACAAGGGTTTATTTGTGGGGATGGTTGATGTGTATGTAAATGTATTTGTGTTGATGACCTATGCATTTTAATACAGGAGACTGCAGGTGTATAAATGCAGGCTAATTTATACTGCACACCTCGATTGCTACATGTAAACTACAATATGAATTGCATAGACCAGCATAGGCTTGCAGACCAGACAGACTGCCGAAGCCTCAATCACACCAGCGACTAGTGGCAGATGTAGAGATGGCCCTGGTGCAATATATTTTTTTGCCCCCCCTCAAGTGTAAAGATGATCCAAAGGTAAATCCTCAACTGTCATGCTTTGCCAGATGGAGATCTACCATTTGCCCATGCTTGCAGTGAGCAGTGACTGTGTTTGAATGTACACATGGTTTTGTATGGTATGTTTCAATGTACCATACATGTAAACTGCATTTACATATACTGTTGCTATTCAAATCGGTACATTTGTCTGTAGTGTTGGTGTTTGAGTGCAGGTGTGTTGTATGTAGTGTTGGCATTTGAATGTCGGGGTGTGTTTGTATGTAGTGTTAGTGTTTGAATGCTGGGGTGTGTTTGTATTTGGTCTGGTGTTTGACTAAACGGTATAATTGCGTATAATGCTGCATTTAAATGCTGGGATGTATGGAGATATACACATACACTTCCAAACACATATACTGATACAGATGCAGTTAAATATTGACACACATACAGATTCATATACACACTGACACACACAGATACACTGACACACACACAAACATACTGACTCCATATATATAGAGGAGTTTTTGCAAAACAATATTCAGACACAATTTTCTGTCGTATTCTGTTATTCCGATATGAGACACCAAAGGTCAGGATAATCTTGTGGCAGGAACACAGCTGAATTGTATACCAAAAGATGGCAACCCAGAAACCAGAGCTCTTCCCCAGTCTAAACCATGCCTTGCTACCAAGAAAAGCCTGGGAAAGAGATACACAAGGCAACCTCCCACCCTGCACTTAATCTGCCCTTATCCGTCTCATGAGTAGGTTCTTTGTCCATCCCTGAGACACTTTTACTAATACAATCAAAATCAAAGATGCTTGCAAAAACTCACAGGTGCAGACACACTCATAGATACCCGTACAAAATGCTCACACGAACATTTAGAGACACTCTTACAAACGCTCTCACTGATATAATCACAGACACATTCACAGATGCTGATGATACCATTGGGCAAATCAAGTATTTACCAGAAGTGCCAGCTCAGAGGGGGTACTCTGCCACTGCATTAGCTGCTAGGGAAATCAAAAGTATGCCTAAATGGAAACTGCATTTGGTATATGTAACGGATCAACTGGCACCCCGATTGGGTACCTCCGTTGAAGGATGCTCCTAGCGCTTCCTGAGGAGCACTGCAGCAGACACCACAACCACCGAACCGGAGAAGCATACGAATGCTCTCAAGCATAATAATGCTGTAAAACAGGAAAAGCATACAATCAGCTTACACTCCTGGCAATCAGCATACAATCCAATTCCCCCAATAACGAGACGACACTTCGTTTTGAGGGTCAAGCAGAACTGTTTTACTGGGGCTAACTGCCTGGCTTTTATGCAGGTCTCCCACCTGGTGGACACTCCCCTAGGGGACCAGATGGGAGACTGGGACACAAAGGGTACAAGAACCAATCACAGACTTACACATTTCAACCATCCCACAATGCATCACAATCCCTCCTCTCTATCCTGGAGATAACTGGGAAGTAATCCAATTATCTCCAAGGACAGAGGCAAAAACTCCATTAACCACATGGTAGTAAAAAGACAGTAAAAGACATAAAATTACATACAGTTACATTTACTACATAAAACATAGACATTCTACATATCCCCAGATAGCTTAGATCTGAGCGCACATTACTACCGAATGGCGCTCAGATCACATACATACATTTCAATCGCCATGGAGCCAAAGTCTTTCACATAGTCTTTCGTTGCACGAACAGGCTCCATGGCTTAGCTATCTGGGGTGATGCTGTTCACCCGGTTAAATTACCAAATGAACAGTCATTCGGTTCCGCTACCGAATGAGAAGGTAAGGAGTCTGGCGGCTCAGCGGTGTTCGTGCCAATAAGTGTCCGTTTTCAGTTCCATAGTTTGGGCGCTGAACATCGCTGGCCGTTCGGGAGGTAAAATGGCCGCTGCCACGTGTTCGGCAACCGAACAAAGGCCACCCAGCGTTCATCAATTAAGCTGCGGTTAATCGCAGCTTCTGGCAGGTCAGTTGATGGCACACTCCAGTTCCCAGGTGGTCCATCGTTCGGTAGTTTGTTCGGTAGATGGAATCTACCGAACACCCTGACAGAAAGGCACGAATAAACCTTTCAGCAGGGAAAATAACAGGTCTGAACTGCAGGGCCATAGTCTAAAGGGAGCAGGCGAGCAACCAGGCTTCTCCAGTGCATAGTGGCGAGGTTGGTTCCGCCACACTTCTCCCCTTTACCAATCAGACTAACAGGGTATCTGACCTCCTGCCGGTCAGTGCCCTTGTTAGTCCAGCAGCCCACCCACAAAACACAATCAGTAATACAACCCACCCACAATAACTGGTTACTACACCTGGGTAGAGGAGAACTTTGTCCATGTCCAGGTGCCTCACCATGGCTGTGTAGGTGACTGGTAAGCGGACTGGGTGGGTTGCTGAGTGGGCAGAGACCAGCGGTACTCTGTCCTGGTGCCAGCACTACCACGGGAGTAGTCTGGTTGGAGCCTGGTTGCTGGAGGGGGAGACCGACTGTCTCCACTTTGGCTAAACAGTCCTGTCGCTGGGAGGCAGAACCGACCGTCCCTACCCCTGTGCTGTAAGTGCAGAGACCACGGTCCCATCTGCATGGTTGTGGGGCTTCTCATCTCCCCTTGGTGGGCTAGGCCGCCGCTGGGAAGTATTCTCCCCTCCTGGTAGAATATTCTGCCGCTGGGGAGCCGGACCGACTGTCCGTACTCCCTGTAGCTTGGACGCAGAGACCCTGGTCCCATCTGCGCTGGTGGGGAGCTTAATGTCTCCCCTTGGTGGGCTACGCTGCCACCGTGGAAAGGGGGGCAACAAGCTTTCCTCCCTGACACACTCTCTGCTGGGGGCGAGGGGGACCGACTGTCTCCCCTTTCAATATATTGTCCTGCTGCTGGGGAGGAAGGATGGTACCTTCGTCTCCCTGGGACTCACTTGACTGCTGAGGAGAGGGACCAACTGTCTCCCCTCCTAAGAACACACACTGCCGCTGGGGAGGAAGGACGGCACCTTCAGCTCCCTGGGACACACACTGCCGCTGGGGAGGAAGGACAAAACCTTCAGCTCCCTGGGACACACACTGCTGCTTGGGAGGAAGGACGACACCTTCAGCTCCCTGGGACACACACTGCCGCTGGGGAGGAAGGACGACACCTTCAGCTCCTTGGGACACACACTGCCGCTGGGGAGGAATGACGACACCTTTAGCTCCCTGTAATACACACTGCCGCTGGGGAGGAAGGACGATACCTTCAGCTCCCTGGGACACACACTGCCGCTGGGGAGGAAGGACGGCACCTTCAGCTCGCTGGGACACACACTGCCGCTGGGGAGGAAGGACGGCACCTTCAGCTCCCTGGGACACACACTGCCGCTGGGGAGGAAGGACGACACCTTCAGCTCCCTGTAACTCACACGGCTGCTGGGGAGGACCCCCCCTTGCCCGCTCTGATTCCCATGGCAAGTACTCTCCCACTATTTTCTTCACGAACTGTACGGTTTTCTCCGGGAGGTTGGTTCCGAAGTAAGCCAGCAGCGCAGTAACTTCTCTTTCAAACGCCTCCTGCATGTAGTTGGGCACCATGCTTGCGCTGCTGAAGTTGGTTCTTTTGTAGATAGGGTCACTGTACGGTTACTGGCGTTGCCCTCAATTTGTAATCCAGGAACTGGTGTTGTCTTATAGCTGTCCTTCTGGGCTGTGGAAATGATCCCACCGCTGCCACCAATTGTAACAAACCGTTTTGCCCACAAGCGGTTAAAAACCGTTTAGGCGATATTCCCCTTTCTCAGCTGCACAGACAGCTACTGCAAGCACCAATCTCCCGAACTGGAAACCCACGAATTCACCAACTCCCGAACTGCAAACACACGAACACTGGAAACAGCCGAACTGGAGACACACGAGTAGCTGTTAGCAGACGAACAGGAAAAGCATACAATCAGCTTACACTCCTGGCAATCAGCATACAATCCAATTCCCCCAAAAACGAGACGACACTTCGTTTTGAGGGTCAAGCAGAACTGTTTTACTGGGGCTAACTGTATACAATAAGAAATAGGTGAGGGCACACTCCAAACAACACTTATAATTACCCTTAGTTGAAAGATATACTCCGTATTTAATTAATTCCTGTATAAAATATGTAAGAACAGGAAAAAAAACACACATAGGGTAATAACGTAAAAAACCTTAAAATTTATAAAACAAATAAGGTTTCACTCACATGGTCATGAGCCACTTAAAATAAGCTGGCTCAGACTAAAAGCGTAGAAAATATCCGTTTGTGGTACTTCACACACCAGGCTGTTTCCCCTTTGTGGTCTCTATTTGTAATTAAAATATTCCAGGATGCAGGGAATAAAATAAAACTTTATTGGACACACTATCATAAGGGGTAAAAACAAAACACTGGGTAAAATAAATTAAAAGTCCACTATATAAAAACAAACTTAA